ATAAGAACCATATAAGCCTCAAATTTCAAGTCGATTCTTTACAAATATACAGTCAATCTGTTTTATTCACTTGTAAACAATAGAATATGGCAGTCTGTATGTTAGAGTGCTTACACGGTGTTTGCATATTATATTTCCTGTAGCTAACATGAAAATCCCTCATCCACCAATTCGAGTACTCGTTTTCATACCAAAACTTAAGAACCACATGTAAGAGCTCAAAGCCTGGTTTCAAGTTAAGCAATTTTATATAAGAACCTGTTCAAGTTCTCTAGAGAAAATCTGGGCTCTTAATATGCGGAATGTACTGTATGACATTGGATATAAATGTATTATAGAAACAACGACTCGGCTTTACAGATTAAATTACCCAGAAAAATAACTTGAAGAGAGCCTATGCAATAATCAGCTGCCACTTTCTACAAAAATGTTAAGAGGTAAAATTCGTGGAAAATAGCGGTAAACTAGTATGAGCTGCGTCGGTGTTTCTAAAAAAGCAGTTGTGCAAAAAAAATTCAGTAATACCGTAAAGAAGTAGATGAATCCTATTTCTTTGCTTTGCTAACGCACAACTCAGACAGGTAAAAATCTGAATAAAAGATACCGTTAGCAATCTCACCTATATTTGACGGAGGTACAGGTGGCTCTTCAATTCTGCTGCAGGTCCTTTGAGCAATTATATACGTCTTTTGTAGCAAATCATCAAAATCGTTTACGGTGAAAACGTCATTAGGATTTTCTACCATTGACAGAAGCTCTTTTTGATTAATATTAGGCCCCACTCCTATAGCAAAAATCTTGACTCCTTCTTGGCGCAATGGTTTGACTGCTTCACCGAGATCTAAGGCGTCATGATCTTCAGTTTGAAGTCCATCTGTTAAAATAATAAGGATTTTGGGAAATCCAAATCGAGTCCCTCCTTTAATGCTAAAAATGTCTGTACGAGCGAGTTTTAGAGCCTTGTCTATTCTTGTTTGACCTAACGTATACCCAATACGATCAACTTCGAGTTTGAAGTCTTCAACTGCCATATATTTTCCTAGAGGAATACTGACTTTAGCATTGGTACTGTAGGTAATAACGGCAGCGATGGCTTGATTTTTTGCAAACTCGTAGGAACTGGCAACACCTTTGACAAAGTCTCTTTGCTTTTGAAAATCTCTTTCTCCAATACTGTTGGATGCGTCCATAAGAAATGCGATATCTGCCTTCGCACTGCATTGGCGAATGTTCTCTGAAATGAGAAAGAAACATAATATTGCCATGAACATGCCATACTTTAATGGACGTTTTGCACGATCGGTGAGTATGGAATGATAGCCAATCGAATAATTGTCTAATATAAAAATTAGGTAAAACCTAATAGCGGAGCTCCCAAAAGATATGGATGTTGGATGAAGATGTGATGCAATCATGGAAGACACATTGGTCAGATTTTGAGTACATGTTTTGTCAAGACTAATTTATTTTTGCTAACAAAGAAAAAAATTCCATGGCATTACATTAAATAATTATTAAACTTTTTCTCTTCAGCTTTGTTGATCCAAAGCAGTGATATATATAATTATATGTAAAGAAAACCACTTATTTTGAATTCTTGTGGTTATTTACCAAAATAAAACTTCCTTAGATAATCTTACAGAAATCATAAATCAATATTAATTATTAATATATTTTCATTGACATTTTTCAATCATGCAGGAATTATAAATAATATTAAATGCGTTTTGACAGTTTTGGTATTTTTCAATCATAAGGAATCATAAAATAATAACAAATGAATTTTGACAGTTTTGAAATTTTTCAATCATGCAGAAATAATAGAAATAATAACAAATGCATCTTTATATGTCAATAAAAATTGTTTGCAATTTTGTTGTTTTAAATTCTTAATAGTTGGTATTTTTCAATCTTTACAGGAATCATCAAATAATATAAATGCATTTTGACAGTTTTGGTACATTCAATCATGCAGAAATCATAAATTAATAATTAATATGTTCTTGAAATGTTCAAACTTTTTGATCTTCTAATGATTATGTAACTACAGACTTTTGCTTACACCAATGTCATTTAATAGACAGAACATTACAGCTGTCGCTTGAAGATATGAATTTTATCTTCAAGTTTTGAATTTATATATCCCACGAGTTAGCACAATACAGCCTTTTGCACAAATTATGAGACATTTTTATATATATAAATATACCTCACCAAATATCAAAAACACCCCAGAAATTATGGTATATCTCTATTATATTTTGTCATGATTGCCTAGCATCAGGTTGTTACAGACAAAATATCAGCGACGGTATCCCATAATTTCTTGGGTGTTTTTGATATTTGGTTAGGTATATTTATATATAAAAAAATGTCTCATAATTTTTGCAAAAGGCTGTATTTCCATTCACCCATGTAATATCCTTTATTAATCACAAAGGAATGATAAATAATAATAAATGCGTTTTGGCAGTTGATACTTTTCAATGATACAGTGATCCAAAAAAATGATTTATGGGTCATTTATGCAATTTGACAGTTTTGGTGGTTTTTCAATCACACAGGAAAAATACGTAATAGTAATTTAATCACACAGGAATGACACTAATCAATACATTTTTGACATACAGTGATCATTAATGATAAGTAATAAATACATTTTGACAGTTTTGTAAACAAAGGAATCTTATTATATGGCTTAGATAGTACGCGCGCTCTGATTGGCTGTTGACAGATAATGACCGGTCGGTATTTTCCTGTAATGCCCGCTCACAGCGGTCAATATTTTTCGCGATTAGACCAGCTTTGACTTTGAGTAAGACGAAGAAAAAACACAATTTGAAACGCATTGCAAAACAAAGATATCCTTTTAGTTCGTTTACGAAAAAAATAAATGTTTGAAAATTTTTTATTTGCAAAATGAGAGACAACGAAAACTACAGTCAAAGTGAATTTATTTAACATGTAAGTTTTTGACGAGATTAGTGCGAAAGCCGACAAAATGGCTACCAAACAGACGAAAACCATTATATTTTTAGTACCAAACCGACGAAAATGACCAAAATCATTATATTTTTAGTAATTGTCTGCAAAAATGAGGGAATAATGGCTCCTTATTTCATAGATTCAGNTGCCTTATCTAAAGGAATAGCATCAGGGTCTGTTGTCTGAACTCCATCCGTTAATATAATCATTACTTTTGGATAACCAGGTCGACTTCGGCCAAACAAATCTTTGTGAGTGAGAAAAAGAGCTTTATCGATTCTTGTTTGGCCATTACTCTTCTTTATTCGATCAACAGCTAATTTAAAACGTTTTACAGACATATATTGTCCGAGGGCAACTTCAAGCGAAGCGTTGGTGCTGTACGAAACTACACCAGCAATAGTTTGATCTGGAGCAAAGGTGAAAGAGTCAGCCACCGACTTTACAAAGTCTCGTTGTTTTTCAAAATCTCTTTTTCCTATACTTTTTGAGGCATCCATCACAAATCCAATATCTGCTTCTGCAGAGCACTTAACTAAGGAAATAAAATAAAGTACATGGATCAATAGAACGATGTAACCCTTAATGGATACATCTAGTTAACGTACTGATTTAATGGAATTTTCAATAGATTAATCATTGACGTAAGTCAAGGTAGCGAAATCATTTTACATTGAATAATGTGAAATATCTGCAAATTTAAAAGAGCTACAAAAYCTGGAGCTACAAAACCTGGTTATAGAGAATAGATAAGCGCCCTAGAACTGTGCGATTTGTGCGCTTTACAAATTGGTGTTAGTTTATTAAGTAAGATTTTCTGGAACTGATTCCAAATTGTACCTGGACATGGCTGTTCATTGCAGACACGGGATTCTGTGGCTAATCCAATACATGGTCGTCCTCCGTAGCGACGAGGGGGGTTATCACATGATCTTCTTCGGGTCTGTTTGCCTCCACCGCACTCAGGAATGCACGTGTCATAATCACTCCAAGATGACCAGCTGCCATGAACTTGAATAAAGTAATCATGGTTATCATATCTATTTTCTAAATGATTCGGTCTTGGGATCAGATAAAAAGATAAGAAGAGACCGTTGGAGGAAACAGTGCTCCGTACACAAGATTGATTAAGAGCATATCTGTCAGTGCTATAGTAATCATGTACTCCTATGATCCTTCTTCATGAAGGGGCACCGGAAGCGATTCACAGGCTATTTTATGATCTTCGTATTTTTCTCTTAGAGGAGATAAGAATTTCGCATCCTTAAACATTTCTAATTAATATGCTACTGAAGGACAACTATATTTCCAATCGTCTAAACGTTGTCTAAACGTTTCAGGACCTCAACCGAAATTCTTTTTGTTCGAAAATGGGATAACGAATTACGTGGATCCTGAGAGGGTAGTTTTTGACTTGTTCTCTCCGTTTCCAATGTGTAGSAGCCATACAATCTAGCTTTAGTCGGTTGCAGACATCATCAGGAGGATATGATGAGAACTTAATTTATTATTTCTCTCTATTCAATTAGTTAAGAAGAAAAAGGCTGGACGGAACACACGAAACKTCTTGRCCCGGATCAGAGTATATTTACTTGCAACTTCGTTGGGTTAAACTCATCTAACAGGGATATAAGCTCAAATTTATCAAGTTTACCTAGTCCTGGTTTAACTAGACATATCGAAATTCAAGATCTATCTATTAGTCGATTCAACTTCTTGACGGCGACACAATTGCGAAGACCAGTAACCAAGTGGGAACAGCATGGTCATATAATGTTAGTTGCGAGGGATACTTGTTGTGGTTTGATATTACGGTGTATACGGATTTGGCTAGTAATCCCGAAAGCAGAAGGACAACCCTCAAGGCATGCCTTCCATATGTTACTCCAGGGATGAGCGTCTGAGGCTAAGGAAATCTGGTACCAAACCAGCTAATTCTGTCTTTACTATCTTAAAGAGCTTTAACCTGCTAAGGTATCGTGGTGTTCGTGCCATGACAGGCTAACTAAGGCAAATAGATCTTTATACGTATTGAGAACTCTTAAGAAGGAAGGCTATGTACAAAYAGAATTGTGACTATCTCTTTAAATCTATTGTAATCAGTACCCAATATTACGTGCGGTTTAAATGTATATGGTGCCTCTGATGGAGTGCTTTCCTCCGTCCAAAGTTTTCTGGACAGATGCTATAAACGGAAATTCATATCTAGAGCTATCAACATCCATGAGCTTCTTGAGAAGTCCGGTAAGAAAACATTCARCAAGATCAAAGCGCAAGAAGGCAATCCTTTATATAATGTTATGCCCAGAACTAAAATTAAAAAATATGCCTAACGTAAGTTTAATCCTAAGAAAMCAAAAGTAAATCGACACATAGATTCATGAACGCATTTGTAAATAGAGTAATTTTTAAATACAATTTAGCAATTTGGACCTCTTTTCAATTTTATACATGTAATCCTGCTTTTTTTGCATTTTTATATTCTTGTAACATAGGATATGAAAATAAAGACCTATTATTATTAGWAGTATTAGTATTCATTAGATAAATAAAYATTGTTTGTTYTTAAGCTAGCTTATCTCAACACAGAAGCGTATTCACTATTTTACGGGATGGTCCCAGTATGCAACAAAAGTTGTCTCCAGTTGTCGTWCACTGCTTGCAGAGTGAAGTCATCTAATCTTTTCTGCTGGAGATAAARTCTCCAGATCTATAATCGAAAAACAACATACCCGCGAATGCTATCAAGAAACTCGAGTGTCCAAGTTGGTGAACTGAATCAGGTAATAGGAGACGGCATGGTATTGTTGCTGACATCCCGACCTCCGATGCCGAAAGACCATATCATAACGATGATGATGATAAATAGTTACCAATACCAAAAACAAGCGTTATACAAACATAGTCATTTCACAGTCAAAATACAWTTTCAAAACCCGACACCTGGTGCTAGAAAATAGATATCGAAGCCAAGTCTACAATAGTGTATGGCTTCTAAATAGAAAGGTTAATTTGGTGCTGCCMGTAATATGATAATAATGATATTTGTAAGAAAAATATGGAATCAATAACGTCTTTATTTACTATTATATAGTAAGTTATAGCATGACTCTTCGTAGTTAATCTTACCCACCAGGACATGGCTTATCATTGCACGACTCCGTTTCAGTGCTTGGACCGAAGCATCCTCTGCCACCGTATTTGGGAGGTGGATTGGAGCATGTACGTGTACGAGCTCTATTGCCCCCGCCACATTCACGATCGCAGTTACTCCAAGGTGACCAGTACCCCCATTTGCCATCGACTAGTACAAATCAAAACATAAACAAAAAGGTTATCTAAAAACAGTCTTTTATTTCTAATCTGTCAGTTTCAGCCTTCTCACAAAGAACGCTGCCTGCACGCTTACACAACGCGTCCTTAACGGTTGTTTCTAAAAACAATTAACGTGTAAGGGTCCTTGGATAGGTCTAGCTTAGTCACAATTATGTAAGAGATAAATACCGAGAACGGAGGCAATAAGCCATATAAAGCACGAGGGGCCGTAGGCCCCGAGGGCTTTATAGGCTTATTGCCGACGTTCGAKKTATTTATCTGACTTATTTCATACTTGAAGAAGTTTTCCAAGCACTGCATTAATATTTTCATTTTAAAATAGGCAAAGAAGCCGTTTTCATATGAATTAAAAACCAAAACCTCGATTAGAAAGGTTACGAAATTTACTGTATTGACAATTCCCAACGGTAATAATTTGCATAACCATTTTTCTCGTTAGTCCCATGAGACCAATGCTAACAATATACCTTTTGTAACAAGTAACTGGACAATGTTAAATAACTGTTTTATTCCACAACTGACATCGATTAGTCAGTTAGCATAGCGTGTTAAGTATAGGATTTTCAAATCTAAGGTTGTGGGTTCGAATCTACTTGGTGTCATTTGAATTTTTCTTTCTTTCTTTCAAGTTTAAAGTTTCAGACGGAAAATTTCTAAGTTGAACGTAGTAGTTAATTAGGTATTCAAGGGCAATAAGTACATTACTATTCAAGGGCAATATCTAGATATTGCCCTGAAACTTCGATATAAAGCACTTGAATACACAATGAGCTGTGGAATAAGCTAGATACAACACTATGAATAACAAAGAAAACTGAATCAAGTATGAAATAAAGACAATTACATCATATATAAGTTTTGATTAGCGTTAATATTGTTTTTTACCTGCACAAGATTGTTGATTGCAGAGCCTTATCKCAGTACTTATTCCTGGACATTGATTCCCGCCATTTTCTGGCACTGGATTGTTGCAAACTCGTCGACGCAATTGTTTACCAGTACCGCATGTTTGAGTGCACTTGTCCCATCGTCCCCAAAACGACCATCCACCATGGACTGAAAGTATGACAATTATGTTTCTTATTTAGCAATCATGACAATGATAATCAAAAAAGTRTATAATTTTAACGTCTTTACCAACTGGACAGGTTCTTTGTGCTATTTGATAGGTTTTTTGGAGTAAGTCATCAAAGTCTTTAGCGGTAAAGACATCATCATCTCTGCGAACCATTAAACGCAACTCAGTTTCATTGATCTGTCCGCCAACTCCCACTGCAAACACTCGAACACCAGCTCGATGCAAAGGTTCTGCYGCCTTATCTAAAGGAATAGCATCAGGGTCTGTTGTCTGAACTCCATCCGTTAATATAATCATTACTTTTGGATAACCAGGTCGACTTCGGCCAAACAAATCTTTGTGAGTGAGAAAAAGAGCTTTATCGATTCTTGTTTGGCCATTACTCTTCTTTATTCGATCAACAGCTAATTTAAAACGTTTTACAGACATATATTGTCCGAGGGCAACTTCAAGCGAAGCGTTGGTGCTGTACGAAACTACACCAGCTATAGTTTGATCTGGAGCGAAATTAAAAGCCCCAGCAATTCCTTTTACGAAATCTTTTTCTTTCTGGAAATCACGTGGTCCTATGCTTTTTGAGGCATCCATTACAAATCCAATGTCGGCTCTGGCAGTGCATTGAACTTTTCCTGAAAAAAGATAATTGATTATGGTTTACTGTACTCACATGGGTAGCTAAAAGCGACACTAAGTCCTATATATCAAAGTAACTGTTGAAAATAATGGAAAATAACTAAATATAATTTTTGCATTSAAAAACAGCCTAAAAGTTTACGAATGCATTTCCGGTATTATTGTTTTCAAAAATTATGTGTATTTTGTAATGCAACCATGTAATTTAATTTGTGGCACGTGAATGGTTTSACAAAATCAAGCAGCGACAACACATTGGTCTTTTCCAAATTTTGTGCATTATTTCTGTCGATTCGATTTCAACATAGTTGTAAAACTATCTAATACCATATAGATAAATCATAAACAGTCAGTCCCATTAACGTTGTTCACTTGTAAAGGCATAAAGACAGCAACGAAGTCATTTGCATAAATAGGCTCTTAATATTCGCAGGAATCATTGCAATTATAAACTTTGGATGAATAGCCAATTAAATGTTATGGACATTGTAAAGTAGTTTTGGACCTCAGGGATCGCGGAACCTGAATTTGAAATTTTGAAAATCCTAACTCTCGGAAATGTCATTTCCAGCGTTTTGAGGCGCTACCAAAGACATATTTACCGCACACACGGTCAGCGATATTATCAATAAAATCCCAAAGACTTTGCATGCAAAAACGCTTCAATTTTAATTATTTACGCTCAGTGTTTACACAATTTTTATAGAACTATATATATGGTGAAATTTTATAAGGAGGCTCTTCGCTTCTTTATTTAAGAAAAAAAGGAGGAGCCCCCTGGACCTTTCTGTTGACTATTACAACGAAATTTAAAGTATGGTAATGCAAATGGCTTTGTTGTTGTCTTTATGACTTTACAACTGAACAATGTTAATGGGATTGACTGTATGTTTTCTMTTTGATATCATGCCAAGTCATGCCAAGTAAATGACAGACATCAAAAAGATATACCTTCACAAGGTTGCTGGTTACATATTCGCGTTTGCTGACCTACACCCTCACATGGTCTTCCTCCAGTACTTTGAGGTGGATTGTTACAAAGTCGAATCCTGGTTTGTAAACCCCCACCACATTCAGGTACACATGCGTCCCACTGCTGCCATGAAGACCAACCACCGTCATGAACAACTTAAAATAAAAATAATAGAATAATAATAGAATAATGTGCAACGATAGAAATGCTTCCCCATCTTCAGACGCGAGCATATTTACTTCCATGAAAGACTAACGTCCGCGAAACGTCACTTCTCGTACTTTTTACGGTATAAATTCACGTTATTGCACAGCTGCAAGCATATTTAGCCTATTAAGAAAATCATGAAAACAAAGCAATACAAAMCAAAAAAAGTGGTTAAAGTACTCTCGACGTCATGCCGATAACATTTAAGTTTAAACTGCCCAGASAACCATTTTATTCTATAATGTAATAACTTCTCTTGCTTGATCTSCTTTAAAAAGTTACAACAAAACATGTGTGCGAGTGTATGTGGCATAGTTTAGAGTAATCTTAGTACCTGGTGCAGGAGCACAAGTTCCTCTTGCAATCTTTTTTACGAGATTCAAAAGTGCATCAAAGTTTTCAGCTTYAAATAAGTCTTGATCACGTTCTACAATGTCTCGTAACTGACTCCGGTTATAATGATGGCCTACTCCAATAGCGAAAACTCTGATATTGTTATCATGCACTGGTCGCGCGGCATCTCTYAATGGAACAGCGTCTGGATCCATCGTTTGTAATCCATCTTAACAAAGAAAAGATAGAAGGTGGAGCCTATTTGCAACGGTTATGGCATACACTSACGTTGGGAGGAATAAAAAGTGAAATATGTTCGAAAGCGCAAATTTAAGGCTGCTTTTAAMACTGAAACATTTCTTACCTGTCAAGATGACCATAATATTTTCATTCTCTAGACGAGCGCCTGCTTTCCAWGTAAAAAGTGTTTTTGTAGCCAGATTGAGTGCTTTGTCAATTCTTGTCCTTTTGCCCATGTAATCAAAGTCGTCGACTGCCTGTTTAAACTGGTGTAAGTACGGGAATTGACCAAATTTTGCTGTTATAACTGCATCATCACTGTAAACAATAGCCCCAGCCTGACTAGCATMCGGAGAGATGTTAAAAGTAGAAACAAGAGACTTGACGAACTCTTTTTGCTTTCTGTAGTCTCTGGAAGACATGCTTTTGGATGAATCCAGTACAAATCCAATGTTAACCTTTTTACTACATCTGTCATCATCAGGAAATGCGCGTAAATCTACAATAAAGACATTCAATAAAAACTATTTCCTTCGTTGTCGATCGCAGTTTCCTACACCATCTGAAAATCATCGTGTCTTTGCTGTCTCGCGTTTGTTACAAAGGATTGTGGGCTACGGCCTTTCAAGAGGGCACATAGAACTAGAACTATAAGGGGGACTATTATATTATTTTTGTCAAAAAAATTAAATTATATAGTTGTGAGTTTTGTCAATAACTAATATTGTATTCAGAGTCAGCTTCACGATATTTTAACAGCTGTATATTCAAGGAATCAAAACTTTTAATTTTTATATCAAACGAACTGTCTACATGCCCGGCTTCTGGATTAAGTCAATGAGTATCCATTTAACATGATTTAAGGTTAGACTTAAGGATGAAAAATTACCATATCACATTGAAACTAAGAATGTAAAAAAAACTTTCATTTCACTATTTATTAAAATATTTTTAGATTTTGACGAGCTTTACAGACCAAAGAACAAGATAGCTGATCTAATATGTAATTTTCTGCCTTTTTTCTTTAAATTTAGACGATATAAATGCTTTCTTTGCAAAAGCCGGGAGACACACATCATCTCCAGAAACCAAACGAAAAAATCCATTGTCACATTTTCCACCGTGAAAAAATTGTAACACTATTTTGTAACACTAATTTTTTTTTCAACTAGCACTATTTTGCACGATTTAGAAATTAGTAAGCTAATAGGCGGTTTGAATTATGGCGTCATTGACTACAACCACAAGGATGCTTTGCCCAGTTGAGTTTCTTTTGTAATGTAATTASTCCCATCGTTTTACCTATCTCTAAACGGATTAAAAATCTGAATAGAAGAGAAAATGCGAAAGGATTTCTGGTAGTTCTAGTTAAGTTTCGATATCAAGATCATAAAGGTACGGAACATATGAAAAAGAACTCGCCAGTCGTAATTATTTGTAAGTCCATGCCATAAAATCAATGTGAGCCTCTTACCCTCACTTCACTATCACTTACAGTAAAAATATCGACACACGTTGGACCGGAAGAGAACACTTAAATGAAAATGATAGTTTTACTTGCTAAACGGAAAACAGAACAACAAGAGTAAACGCACTAAATCCGTGAAACAAATATAACTAATTACTACTAAACAGACTATAGAAAACAATGGAATTAGCAATTGTTTCTCGCATAAAGTGAGCGCGTTCAATCTACGGAAAAATTCTTTATAAACATATTTATCTTTCATCAACGAAATGTGTTTTCATTTGCTAATGTTATTGCTCCCACACGTGCCGAGTCATTGGTTTTCATATGGTACAATCTGTCGTTAAAAGATACACAAGACCTGTTTGTTCAGTAATGATAATCGACACAGATGTCTATTTAAAGTTGGCTTAAGGGTAGGAAATCTTGACGTAGGATCAAGCTGCATCCGCTGACCTTTAACCATTTGGTATGGTAACACTAAAGCAAYACACTATCGAAATAATCATTTGTGGGATGTTTAACTTAATTGCTAATTAGTTTAGCAGTGATATCTGTTACATATTTCTCCCTTTTAAAGACAAAGCAATGTAGACGTGCGTTCTTTCATGAGAAACTGTTTGCTAAGGTTTTATGTAAGATGCTCAGCGTCTTAGATTTTTTAAGTATCAAAATGCATCAAGTAATTCACTTTCAATTTTTGATGGTCATATTTATGCTAGATCATCCCTTACGATCTCACTTAAGATAATGAACTTGTTCAAATTTATTTTTCCACATCCGGCTGAAAAGTTACACAGTTACACGAMATATAGTATTGACCGTATTTTGACTGCAGTGCGTTCTATGCAATGTATRTCATTTCAAAAATGTAACTTCAGTGAGCTCCCAAATCATGTAAGGCATAAAATTAAATTCGTCACAGTAATCCAAATCATCGTTTAACCATGTTACACTTTGTAAAGCAACATKAACATTTTTCTCAAATATAATCTGGAAGAACAAGATTTGGTATCCAAACTCCCGCTTAACTAATGATCTTAATGATTGAAAAAATAATTCCTTTATTATTGATTAATTGACATAATAATTTCCCATTCATGATCATATATATCTACAATTTTGATGTAAACAAATAATCGTTATCGCGTAGTTTATCGTATGACGATGCTGAAAGTGTGTTATAATGCTGTACCCTCGGGCTGAGCAACAAATACAATTTATCGCAGTTCAGACTGAAACCCTWTTGAAAATCATTGTTTCAGATGGTTTACATCAGTCGTTGCCTTTTAAAGCTTTTTGATTTTTTAGCAAAATTCATCTTATATTTGCTTGAATGCTATGGGAAAAAATGCATGAGGGRTAAATCAGGAAATGCTATATTTACCTTGAGTGAATGAAAGTACTATGCAGTGAAGACTGACCACAACGAGAATAACACAAAACTTCATTGTCGTGGCTTCAAGTGATTCGCTTTTCAACTCGTGTTAAGTGCTTTTTATACAAAAGTGGTTTATGTGGGCAGCGTTTGCCCTCTAATGTCATGCTTCTGTAACTTAACACCTTGTAGAATTACGTGTGGATCATCCATCAAAAGTTATTTGTTGCGTGCTGATGCGCTATTGATGATGTCCTTATAAACTTTCAGCACAAAAAACTCAAATAAGAAAACAGATTATCATATAATGACAGTGAACTCTAGACCAATTATTTGTATATTACTGATAAGGAACTATCCGCAAAATAGGTTACCTGYCATGCTGAACAGCTCACGTCAGTCTGAAAATCAAGACCTGGATGGGGGCCAGGACAACTAYTTAAAGCGGATTGGTTTTATGAAGTGATCTTATCATAAAAAATAAAATGAAATGTAAACATCTAGTCTTGTGATGTACATAACAAGCTTTATTAAGCATATTTTTGAGAAAGAGCGACATATTTTCAAAGCTTAATGGATTTCAGTAACAACGAATACAGTTTTCTACAGGAAGTCGAAAGAAATACATTTTAACAACCTTAAAGGGGTCAAAGAAGCAAAGCAATTTATGCTCTTTTCGCAAGACACAATATCCTGAATTAAAATCCCAATGAGTAAAATCTCACAACCCATCTAATATGAACTGTAAATAAAAAATACAAATTGACAAATTAAAAAAGTCTATTTAACTTATTTCCTAACGAAGGTGAGGGCATTTTATAACCCTTAACAATTATGAACTAAAAACTATAAACAACCAATAARAGTCTGGCTTGAGAGGTGTGTGAAGTTTAATCCATGTCTCACGTCACCTTTCAGGCCTGATATTACTCGTGCGAAAGCGGCGAGTCATAAATTCACCATCGTTAGTGCTATTATTTTTCCCTTTGTCAACAAAATGACCCAAATAAACGCATGCGCACGCAGCTATGATAGTAGTAGGCATGCGCACATGAACAGCATGATCAACTACAATAATGGCGGACAAGCGTTTAGAGAAAGTGTGTGTTCATTTTGGGACGATACTTTTCCCAAACTAGGAGACAGATTACTTTACGAGCGAATATTACGAGAGAACCCTTAAGAGTGAGAATTATGTCGTGAATGATTCTTCTTTATAGCTTTGAACTCGATTTCAAAACAGCTATTTACGAGTGAACATTCAATCGAGAGCAAAACTATTGAGTATAACATAGCGACAATAATCTTTCAAAGCCTCGGATATCATATCTAAGCATAAATCAACGACCACTTCATTCTACTCGTGATCGCGAACCCAGAAAAATATCTCTTCGAACTCTTAATCGTCTATAACGAGCAAGAGTAGGATGTTGAAGCACTTTGTCTACAAACGTTTTAGTATTACAAGTCATCAAAGATCAGATTTTTGAGCTTAGAAAAACTTTTTCAAAAAATAGATATGTACCAAAATTACTAAGCTATAATAAATTTACAGAATATTGAGTTATATGTAGCGGGTCACCAACTTTGGTATTTTACAATAACCATCGGATTTTAAGAAATACAGGGTTGGAGCGGAGAAAAATCGTAATTTCGTTTAAGGAGGCTAATGAGATGATACCGGCTAGTACAGTAGGGTGAGACGCTCTCTCATCATGATCACAGGAACGAATTTATACAAAACAATTGAATTATCTTTTTCAAAAAGATAGTGGTGCTTTTTTGTTATAATAGGCGATGATCTAGACTGAGTCTTCAGCCGGCTATGTGCGCGCTCGCGATACTTTGTCGCCTGACGGCTGTACGCAAGGGTTTTGAAACGTGTCGCGCAAGTCCGTGACGTTTGTATATAAATTAAGATACCATGACCTAACGTAAGTGAAATTTTTAAATTCATGAAAAGTAAAAAAAAAAAAAAAATGATACTTGACGCCTTAACTACAAAGCGTAAATGTTAAAAATGTTTGTATTCCATTTATTGTAAGAACCAAAGTCCCATGTATGCCTTTATGGGCTGTCTTCCTCCTGACTCAGTTTGGGTTTGCCACATTTACAACGTGATGATACTGAGAAACTCAAGATTCTCAGATTAATAAACCTTTTTGATTGTGGATTTGGAGACAGAAGTTTTAAAGCTTTCTGAAGGAAATTTGAAGAAGTTACTTGAGATATTTCTCGACAGGTTCAACACTTCACAATTATAAATGTAGGTAAAAATTTTATAAGGAGCTAATTGTGGCAGTTGGAATGATGAATATCGCGAAGTTATGGTTAAAAAGAATAAGAAACGTATAAGAGACTTGAAGCGTGTAACGCCCGTACATTTCTTTAGTACCAAGCGTCGGAATATTCAAAGCTCGTTAAAAATTCGAAAAGAACGTTATACCCATATTTGGAAATTCCGCCGTTGGATAAGAGATTTAAGGGTTTCTAAAAGAAGTCAACAAACTATTTGCTTTCTTTATCGCGGAATATTAGAAACGATAACGACAATGAAATAATTGAAGAGTTGTTTTTCCCGATTAATATACTAATATTATTATACAGATAATTGATTTTTTTTATAGTGTACTTGATGCTTGCCCTATTCTTTTTCATTCTTTTACACTTTATTATGTGTATATTCTTGTTTATACCGGGTTCTCCTTCAATGTTGSATGGTCATCAATTACATCATTTATCAGCTTTTCGAAAGGGAATGTCGACTGCAGAGTGCAGAGTCACTAGGGTGAAAGCTCTCGATTACGACGACGGAATTTTTTAATTCGTAGTATTGCAGTTTTATGACTTTTTATTCAGATTCATTTTAGTGTAGGCTAGCGCAACTGTTTTCCTTCGTTGTTGTCTTCTTGCCACCATCCGTTGCATCATCTGATCCACAGTCGTCATTGTTAGGTCATGGTGGTATGGGTGGSGTTGGTAAGGAGATCGGGAGGCTGCCGTGGAAGGATGAGCTAAGACTGCAATTCCGAATTGCAACTCTGCTTTGCGGACGGCAAGCAAGGGTACCCGATGCCGTAAAAGATATCATTACTTAGGCCCGTTTCAGACGTCGATCTTTTGCCGCGTCTAATCGCTCATACATGCAGTTCTCGAGAMGTTTGCAGTCTACATCGATTGATATTTACAGATTATAGTAAGTTTGTCCAACTGAACAAAATCTACTAATGTCAATAAATTCAGAGTATAAAATGCTCATAAACTCAACTCCACCAATTAGATTAGACTCGAAGATCAAAGATCAAAGTCTGAAACGGGCTTTAAATCAACTAAATTACATTATAATAAAATTATATCGACTTTTGCAAAGAAAGCCAATCACAGTATTCCAAAACTTCTATTTTAGCTTTCTATTTTGGTTTTCGACAAGGCTGCTCAACTAATCATGCCATACTCTTGATATAATAAGTGAAATACAATGCAACATGGAYAAAAAGCTTTTTTCGTGCGCAGTTTTTATTGATCCGAAAAAAGCATTTGATACTGTAGACCATTCAATTCTGCTTCAAAAGCTCTCTCTATATGGAATAAGAGGAATAATCAATGACCGCTTCAAATCATATCTCCTACATAGAACTCAAACTACTGAAGTTAATTGTTGTATTAGAACGAAAGAAATTAACCCATATAAGGAGTTCCCCAAGGTTCCGTTCTAGGACCCCTACTTTTTCTGTTATACATCAATGACATTGCTAAATTATCTAACAAGCTAAAAKTTTTCATTTTTGCTGATGACACCAATTTGCTTTATGCCCATAATACTATCTAAAATCACTTGAACTTATCGTCAATACTGAGCTATCTAATCTATGTGACTGGTTAACAGTTAATAAATTAACTCTGAATATCAAAAAATCTAACTTTATCATATTCTGTCCCTTCCAGAAAAGGTTGATTCCCCCATCAGCAATAAACTAATGTGTAACTAGACGCATAACTGCGTAAACTCGGGGTTCTTGTTGATAATAGTAGTGAATTTGGTAAGGCTCGTTTACACTTGCGTGTTTGCCATATATTTACTATATAATTCGCTTTTGATAAGTTAGGTAGCTAGTTTGATAGACAATTCATGATATGCAGTAATATAAATATCACAATTCCGAAGTTGATATAGTTATGCAACTCAGAAGATCTGGGAATATTGCGAGAGATTCGATGATAAACAACCCATCTTATCTTTCTACTTTTGTTATGTAAGCGTCTTAGAAATCGTTTTGGTATCCTACTGGGCTCACGACTACGACTACAACGTACATGTCGATAATTTTAATAAACAAACCTTGAATAACGAGATCTTGTAGTACTTGTAATGTTTATTCTAACTTCTGCATCATTGTATACACCATAAACAGTCATACTGCAAATAGTTTTATCTAAGATATCACAATCACT